TCTTATCTAGATAGACATGCAGAGACAATAATAAGCCCAAACACACGACAGGAAAAAACAAAACAAAAGAACAACAAAAACCAATGACAAAAGAAGGAGAGCCTATAAATATGTCTAGATCTGTTTGTTGACATTTTGGAGTGTTTTCCAGTGAAGTCTGATGAGGTGCCATACCTTGGCCCCAAAGCTGATTTTTGGTATTGCCTGGGGACTTCATTGCTCTGCTCCCCTTGCTGCTCTGTTGCATGCCCTTAGCATTTCCCCAGAGTGGTGGGGTCAGATTGGGCACAATTCCAGCACTGTATCTCCAGTGTTGTCCCTCGAAGTACTATGGGCCAATGAGGTGGGGCGCAATGTCTCGTGGTGGGGCTGGTCCTATGGTCCTCTCTGGGCATTGGCTGCTCTGAGCAGGAATAGTGTCCTCGGGGCTTGTTGGGCCAGGATGTGTTCCACTCTCTCTCCTTCCCTCTTTATTTGCTCCTGTGTGCTGTGATCAGACGTGCCCCTCTCCCTGAGCTGTAGCTTCAGTACTGTCCTCTGAAGTGAATTCTTCTGGGGGAAGGGGCGTGGATGACATTGTTTTGGCTAAACACACAGAGACCTTAAATGGGGGACCATCCCATTATCCAGTTCTCAGCATGCCTCTGCCCTCCTCCCTCCTCCCTAGCAGGTGCACACCTAACACCTGGATGGTTAATTGGACAGTGTGCTGGCTTGGCATTCTGACAGGGTTGGTTGCTGACCCCTCATTCTAGAAGATATGCTCCTGCAGAGAGGATCATATTGTAGATACCTGTTATTTCTCCTTTTGGTGATAGCTATAAAAACCATCCCTCTAAAATGCTGTGTGATTACAACAGGTCTCTGATTTGCTCTGATTTGGCTTATTCCAGATGCCACTCTTGGTCTGAATCTTATAGGTTCTTAAATCACCATGTGTTCTTATTACTCTATTTTTATTACTGTGTAATTGTATAATAATGTGGTATATTTATGCACACACATACAAGGGGGTTAGCCCCCCCCCGCCAAAAAAAAATCCAGAAAAGCTCTGCTGGGTGGAGCTTTCTTAGTACACATTGTTTTCCCACTAGGCGAGCATGGAACAACTTGAGTTTGTGCACCCAGTGGCATCACCTGGGACAGTTTTATCTCTGGTCACAGTGAATTTTTTCGTGAAACAGTTTTGCTTGAACCTTGTATTTTTGTAATGGCCAATTTAAAAGAACAGATTGTGGCTGTGAAATTTTGTTTCCTGCTCTGGAAAAATGCTGCAGAAACTTGTGCTATTGAACACAGCTTACAAGGACAGTGCTATGGAAAACACTCGTGAATTCATTTCAAAAAAGGTGAAATATTGATTGACAGACCTCATTATGGATGACCGTCAACTTCTGGAATGGATGAAAATGTAGACTCTTAGTGCTTGTAGACTCTTGGAGTTTGTTTTACCAGGTGAGACTGTTAAGCATGCTTTCTATTTAAAGGTTCTGAAAAGGTTGTGTAACAGTGTTCCACAAAAAAGGCCTGATTTGTGGCAGATGGGGGACTGCTTCTGCCACCACGACCATGCACCTGCTCAGATAGCCATCTCAGTGGCCACTTTTGGGCAAAACCCAGCATGCCTCTCTTGCCCCACACACCTTCTCACCTGACCTTGCTCTGCGCGACTTCTTTTTGTTTCCACAAATGAAGAGGGACATGAAAAGAGAGCAATCTGATGACATAGAAGAGGTGAAGAGAAAAAAATGAGGAAGGGTACTGTCAGCCTTCCCAACAGATAAGTTTGAAAAATGTTTCCAAGGATGGAATTGCAGATTTGACAAATGTATTAAGTGTAATGGAGAGTACTTTGAAGGTGAAAAGGCCGTTTAGTACAAGAATACAAATACATAGTGTTATTTTTTTAAATCCTTTTTTGCGGTGGAGGGATACTCCCTCATACATTTCATATACTCTTTGAATTAGCCTTACATATTGAAAACCACGATCCAGGGGCTTAGGTGAAGAGCAAATGTTTTGAGAATGATGAGGGCAACGAATGTACAAATGTGCTTTGCACAATGGATGTCTGTATGGATTGTGATAAGAATTGTATGAGCCCCTAATAAAATGATTTAAAAAAAAAACACCACGATCAGCTAAAGATATTTTTATAGAAACAGTTTCTTGTCCTGAGTGTGTTTTTCAATTGCGTGTGTGTTTTGAGACATTGTAACTTGTTTTGAAGGCTCATTTCTTTGGCAAGAGAACAGAGCTGAAGACTTTACTTTCATGTACAAATGTGGACATGCAGAAGGAATAGAATCATGAAGCAGCCGTGAAAGAGACAAGTCTGCGTTCCGTGTGTCAGGAGCAAACCACTCGATCGTGACCAGGCCGCGGTGGGCGCTGGTGGTAGTTGTGGGCTTGTTGGCTTCAGCTCATGATGACCTTCATGTACAACAGAACAGCTGTCAGCCTGGTCATCGCCGGCGGGCTGGAGCCCATCACTGCAGCCGTCCAGCTCCCCGAGGGCCCCTGTGCACCCCTGCGCTTAGTACATCACCGAACGTGATTCGCTCCTGAGAAATCCGCCAGGAGGAGAAGATTCCGGCTGCGCTTCTCGTTCTTACAATATGATATCGTAGAAGAGGTGTGCGTCTGCTTGTTAGCATTCTGGTCCCTGCTAACTTAAAAAGCCCAGATGGGTTGACTCTTTGGCTTCCCCTTGCCCCCCTTGGATAACGCTTTATCTGTTCTCATGTCCCTTAAGGTGGTGTCCTGTGCCGTGGCTGGTGAGGCCGTACAGTTCATCGTATCTGCTCTGTCAGCCTCCTCTGAGGGTGCCGGCCGCCGGCTCTACAACGTCAGGCTCGGCCCATTTCGTTTACAGGTGAGTTTTTCTTTTTTATGTCCCGGGAAAGCATTCCTAGAACTTGTAAGATAAACGAGGTTCCGTGATACATGAGGTGAATACTGTGTTGTCGTTAGCAGCCTTTCACTTCATAATTTTCCAGCTGTAAGCTTCCACATCACTTTGATTCTATAGGAAATTTTTTTTTTAATGTATATACACTCTGAAGCGTGCTGACAACATGAGGGGCTGGGCCAGACCTGCTTGGAGAGCCAGTCAACTTGTTCCCCCCCTCTCGTTTTCTTTACTGCAGCATATGCCAAATACAATTTTCCTTTCCTTTAAAAAAATCATTCTATTGGGGGCTGGTACAGCTCTCATCACAATAATACATGTCTCCATTGTGTCAAGCACATTTGTACATTTGTTGCCATATCACTTTCAAAACATTTTCTTTCTACTTGAGCCCTTGGTATCAGCTCCTCATGGGTTTTATTTTTCAAAGCAGCGCTGGTGGCAAAGGGGGTATGTATTGGGCTGCTGACTACAAGTCCAGTGGTTTGAACCCACATGGGAGAAGGTGGCGGCTCTCTGTTCCCATAAAGAGCCATATTCTCAGAAATCCACAAGGTCAGCTTTAATCTGTCTGCTAGGGTCACCATGCGTCGGAATGGACGCGGTGGCAGTGAATGAGTGAGTGAGTTAGTCACATCTGGGTGTGTGTGGATGAGCGATATTAGCTTATTTCAGCTATGTGTACAGTATCATATAGTATAACTCAATGTATAATAATATGAGAGGGATATGTTTGTGGGAAAATTCCATTCTCTTTCCATTCTACTTTTCCATGAACTCACTGAAGCCCTGTGTTAGACTAGGGAGACTAGAGAAACAAAATTAATAAACACTCATATTTTATAAGAGGGGGTTTTATCTAAAGGGTAATTGTACATTAAGCATCCCAACCCAGGCCAGTCCAAGCCCATAAGTCCGACATTAGCCCATATGCCTGACATCAATCTACAAAGTCTTCCTCAAACTCACAAAACCCATGCAATGACGTCGACTGCAGGAGGAAAGCCAAATCAGTGAACGTGTAAGCATCTCAGTGCTGACAAGGTCTCCATACGGCTGTTCCAGCACCCAGGGCTGCATCAGGATAGGTCCATGTGGCTTCTCCTCAGGGATGTCTCACAGGAAGTGCCCCTTGCCAGTGGAAGCAGGGAACTAGCTAAGGCAGCCACAACTGGTCCAACCATTAGAGAGCAAGAGACCAGACAGGCAATGCTCGCCGAGCCATTTATCTCTCTGCTCTTCAATTAAACTGCCCTTCCATGAATCCCACCTGTCTTCATCGGCCAAGTTGGCACAAGAACATGAACCATCGCAGCCCCTTGTATAGTACAGAACAAGGAAGACGCCAAGGCCATGCCTTGAGTGGACTCCAACCTCTGGCGAGTCCCTGTGTCACAGAGTGGAACTGTGCCCATAGGGTTTCCCCAGCTGTCTCCTTTGCAGAAGCAGGTCACCAGCCCTTTCTTCCACCCCATGGTACCCCTGCATGGGTTTGAACCACTAACCTCGAGCTTAGTAGCCGAGAGCATAAGATTGCTACCCCTGAGGAGCCTTCAAGCTGTCCTGAGAGGATCACAGACACCCTCTGAGGAAAGGCACACACCCTGAGGTTGTGTGGATTGTGTACCCTGTGCTTGCCATTTTAGCGAGTGCAGCCGGCACTCAGATGCAGCTCTGGTCTTAGAGCACAGTTGAAAAGCAGTCTGCGGGTCTCCTGCCAAAGCAGAGAGCGATGCTGAAGACGTGGTACACTATTACTGCCGCGGCCAGAACCACTCTTTTCCTCTGATAGTCTGCCAAGGACAGCAGTCCCGGTGCCTGGGGTGGTAGTGCCTCCCACGGCCTGGCTGGTGGGGAGGGGAGGGTGACACGGTTACCTGTGGAAATGGGAGAGAGTGCATTCTTCCTGTAACTAAGTAGAACCGTGGGGCAGCAGGGACGCCTTGGGTGGCCAAGTGGTCTACATGCTCAGCTGCTGCCAAGGAAAGGTGGGAGGTTTGGGCCCAAGCAGAGATGCTTCAGGAGAAAGGCTTGGTGACCAGTTCTCAAAACCCAGCCGCTGACAGCCGTGGAGCGCAGTTGCACACACACAGCCAGGGTCCCCGTGAGTGGGTCGGGGTTGACTGAATGGCATCATTCACTCAGAGGGGGGCGGGGAGTGGGGGGGAGGGGGGAAGCCGGGAGTCGGCACTTCCCACGCCCTATTCCTAGTTTCCGAGTTGAAAGTCTCTGAGCCTCTCAGAGCTGTGTCCAATGCCACTCGTTCCTTCCCTTTTCTGGGAGTGCTGGGAAGAGGCTCGCCTCCTGGTGCACCTGGGGTGTCGGTAGAATTCAGGCGTGAAACCAAGGCCCCGTGCCCTTGCTGACTAGAGAAGGAGGGCTGGCCCAGGCTTCTGAAGGCGGCCACCTGCGCTCCTTGGCTCGGGCCCTTCCCTCCACCTTCAAAGCCAGTGACTGAGTCTCTTGCCGCACCGCCGTGCTTCCCTCCCATGGCTGTGGACTCCTGCGATGAGAGTGGACTCACGTGGGTAACCCAGACCTCCTCCTGGCCTGCCCCTCCGGAGCAGCGGCAGTCTCGGGTCACTTCAGGTGACGTGCTCACAGGATCCAGGGATGCCGGCCACAGATGTGGTTGGGTGAGGTGGGATCAGAGTGGAGGCTCAGGAAGAGATGACATGACTTCTGGCCAGCTCTGCCCACTCTCTGGAGGGCTTAGGGGCAGGGGGCTTCCATGGCCAGGACTAGAAGTAGAGCACCCTATTTCTCTTCTCTTACTTCCCCTCCTTTCTAACTCAAAACTGCTATGGAGTCTATTTGGACTCAGTGATTCTGCAGGACAGGGGGATTGCTCCTGTGGGTTTCAGAGAAACCATATCTGTTAACAAGAGTAGAAAGCCTCTTTTCTCTCCCGCAGAGAGGCTGGAGGATATGAACTCTGGTTCCCAGCCTGACACGTAATCACTGCACCATACCTGGTGATGCTCCCAGAGAGAGATAGGCAAAGCACAGCGGATTGTTCATTTGAAAGACTGCTAAGTTATGATGGCATCTGGTCTTCAGCCACAAACATTGAAGTTCTTCTCCTCGGGTGGGCTGAGACAGAGGAAGGCACTGGGCGTGGGGCTGGGGTGGGGTACAGTAGGGAAGGTGAAGGTTGAAGGGAGTGTAGGATTTCCCTTTCAATTTTGAAATGACATGATATGCCAAGAGGGAGGCTAGACAATTTTCTGTGAAAATTAATGCACATATGAACACACACAAACATCACATACACACAGTCTCACATATACATCTTTACACAGACACACGTGTATACAACATACACACCAGACACATACCGCACTCACAAGATAGACACATCACAAACATCCACATCCACAAACTTTCATCAGACATACACCCTCCACAGACACCCCCCCCCTCACTTATGCTCACACACACACAGACATATACATCTCCACACACAGTGCTCGCATACACACACAGAAACAGAACATGCGCAACCACATGCACCACACTCGGAGCCACATACGTCCACCATATACAGACAGTCACCTCCATACACCGTAGTCTCCCACATGCACATGCACACATGCATATAGACAGATACTTTCGCTCGCTCCCATACTCAAAATACTCTCATACACGCAACACACTCACACACACACAAGGGTCAGTAACAAAGCACTGCGTTCCAGTTCATGCGTGCACTGGAGCATTCCCAGTGAAGCACGTTTCAGGCGTGCCTCTGATGAGCGGTGGCTGCGTTCCAGTTCATGCGTGCGCTGGAGC